CTGTCTTCAGTTACAATGGATGAATTCCCCTGATAACTCCTGTGGTCAGGTTTTTACTCTCACCACCTTCTGAAAGCATCTTCTCAAAGGTCATGGCATGACAGCTTTATTTTTCAAGTTATAATAACCATTTTTTTTCTCTCATCTTGCCTGTTTACCTTCCTGAGAGAGACAGTGGTTCTAACTGTTGGCATTTCGACTCTATCGAAAATGTCTCTACTTCACATTGGGACCTTGGAACTATTTATTGCCTGATTTCCTGCTAAGGCACTTTCTGCTTCCTGTCTACCCTGTTTACTTTTCCAAGAAGTGGTCCTTTACAGGCCTTTTCTCTCTCCACTCTTATTGTTTTAAATTATTGTTTTTGTGTTCTGTCTTCTTCAAGCCTCTTCACTCATGGTTACAGTATGAGGACTCAAAGCCGTTTATGACTCATTTTCCAGGTTCTATAGACTTCCTCCATGTGGCTGTCACACCTTCATTTCATGTTTGAAGCTTGCTTGAGTGACACCTTCTGGAGCATCTCATGCTTGAGACCTTGAAGTTATAAAAATATTGAGGTCATATGCATCTATTCTCTGATCAGGAAATATCTTGATAATGACAGAAGCAGCAACAGCATAATACAAGGAGAAGGATGTTGTACTCTATACATCCCCATTCATATTCTCAGAGGAATACAGGACAAATTGTCAGTGTTTTTCACTGGGTTCCAAGAATGAATGATCCTTAAAGAATCTTTCCGTACTAAACACAAGTCATAGTTGTAATTAATTTTGAAAGTTGTAGCTGTTTGAATAGGAATGGCTCCCATAAGCGCATAGATTTGAATGCTTCATTACCAAGGACTGGCACTATTAGAGGCGTGGCCTTTGGAGTTTCAGATGCTCAAGCCAGGCAAGTGACACTCTCTTTTCTTGCTGCTGCTGATTCAGACATAGGACTCTTAGCTACTATCCAGCACCATGTCTGACTGCAAGCCACCATGTTTACTGACATGACAATGGACTAAACCTCTGAACTGTAAGCCAGCCCTAATTAAAGGTTTTCTTTTATAAGAGTGGCTGTGGTCATATTGCCTCTTCACAGCAATAGAGACCTAAATTGAAGAGTAAATAATTAATCAGAAACATCTTAGGATCATTATATCTTGTCTATATCAGAGCATGATTGTGGTTAATTTTATTTTGTAATACTTTGATTATTTTAAAGAATTTATCCCCAAATCCCCAATTATAAATTGTAGGGCGAATTCTAATTGGTCTTAATAACAAAAATGCAGAGCCAGATATCAGGGTGAAAGTTGAAAGATCAGAGAAGCAGAGCAGCCAGCCACTAGAAAGACTTCATACCTCTGCCGAATCCACAGACCCAAAGGGCCTAGCTCCTGGCTCCACCCCGACTTATCACTTCCTCTCTCGGCCCAGCCATATCACTTTCCGGTTCCTCTTCCTAAATGCTGGGATTAAAGGTGTGTGCCACGCCTGCCTGGCCTCTAGTGGCTAGCTCCACACTCTGATCTCCAGGCAAGCTTTATTTGTTAGAGCATAAACAAAATATCACCACAAAAAATAGTTCTACACGATATTATTCCCTGTGCTGTTATAACTCTCAATACCCTTGCTCCTTACTCGGGTCTTGAAGGATCCCAACATTGTTTCTGCTCCTCAGCCCCAGGCCTGGATTTTGAGAACCCTTTCTATATTGGCTGCATCTTATTGCTGCATTCTTTCGGTCTTCCACTCATCTCATTGCCCCTGAGAGTCTTTGGTGCAGTTTGATTCCTCTTTCCCCCCATCAATATGAGACACTCAACCTTGATTGTAGGCTCCCTTCTAAAGACAGCTACCACATGCTGAAGCTAACTCAAGTTGTAAGCAACACCTGTCTTGCATATAACAACCTTGATAGGTGAATTTGACGACTTTCATGAAAAGGATAAGGAAACCGAAGTTTAGAAGCATAAGCCAATTAAATCACGTCCTTAACAAGTGGCAAAGAGAGACAAGTGGATGTCTTTCTAGCATAAAGTCAGCGGAGTCTCCATCATTGTCGTAAAACATTTCCTCTCTCAGAGGCTCTTACATATTCCGAAATTAGAATTTAAATACACCATTACCCTGAGAATTTTACTGATAGTGTAGGGATGCTTTCGCCATCTAGAATCCTAGAACACTCTTTACTAGTACTCTAACCAGGTTGAAATAGTTCATGGTTATCACTTTTGGAAAGAAAATACCATCTTCTCACATGTTTGTAGATTTTATAATCACCAGTACAATTGCAGACACATGGCAGTAACACTAAGTGTGCTATATGTTCTCATTCGTTTGCCGGTTCATTATTTTTTATTAAAATGATATTTGTGCTTATTTCTTTTTTATTTTCTCTTATCTGCAAACTTGTTTTTAATGTAAAATATCCTCATGTTAAGCATATCACAGTGATACATATTTTCAACAGAATTGTGTGCATAAGTTAAAATTAAAATTTTTTTGTTATAATTAGTGAGGTCTTTAATAGTTAAAACATTCTTTTTCACTTAAGCCAGATCTAGGAACACAAATATTGTATGTTTCCTCTCATGTGATGGGAAAAGCACAGTGGGATGGGGTGTGGGGGAGAATAAAGAAGAGGCTAACAGCAATTGAATGGCAGTCAAGATTCCTGATATGCAGATTAGAATAAAAATATTATAAATATCATTTATAATTCTTTCTGTCATTTATATATTGGTAGTTCAAAATGATCTCAATGCCATAAAGTAAAATAAAAAGCTATTTTTATCTTTTACATAGTCTCTTTCTTCAAGAAAGTTAAAAATAAATATCTCACACAGCAGAAGTAAATATTTAGCGTGATTGATAATAATGTATTGAAAGTATGTATGTAGCATGAATCTTAAAGGGACTTATTAATAAAACAAACTTGGGGCGAGGTATTGGGGTGAATGCTGGAAGATCAGAGAAGCAGAACAAGCCATAGCCACCTCACCTCACCAGTTCCTTAACTGATCCTGTTTCCTCAGACTGGAAGCTTCTGAGTCCTCATCCAAATGGATCTCAGCTGAACTGCTGCTAAAATCCTAAAAGCTTAACCAGGCTCTAGTTCCTGGTTTTCCTGCCTTATATACCTTTCTGCTTTCTGCCATCACTTCCTGGGATTAAAGGCGTGAGTCACCATGCCTGGCTGTTTCCAGTTTGGCTTTGAACTCAGAGAGATCCAGGCGGATCTCTGCCTTCGGAATGCTAGGATTAAAGGTGTGTGTGCCACCATTTTCTGGCCTCTGTATCTAGTGGCTGTTCTGTTCTCTGACCCCAGATAAGCTTATTAGGGTGCACAATATTTTGAGGAACACAATATCACCACATATGTATATTGCCTTTGTTTTAGATACAAGCATCAAAATACAGGGTAAAAGGCAATACCATGCTTACACTAATTGATGCTGTAATATAGCTTTTGTGTATTAGGACACTCTCATTGAAACTAATCAGGAAGATCTAACAACATAGCGTATTTTATATGTTGTTCTTCCTTTTCTTCATTTATATCTGACTTTTGATATAAGCATGGAACAGGAATAGATCATTGTCATTATCCTACTCATTTTTCCTACAGTTAAAAATTGCAAAATTTTCCACTGAGCACAAAGCTAACACTATCTTCTTAGTCTGTATTATCTTTAGTTCTTTTATGTGCTCTTCCTGAGACCAACTGCTTTAAGATTATAAGTCACTTAAAATGGTGATATTCACTCACTAAAAATGAGAAGACTCACTAAACTTCTTTCAGATTATGCTATTACTTTTATGAAAAGTTTAAATGATCACTTGGGTTAGTATTAAATGTAAGATGGAGAGAGTGTACTGCTTCTATTACTTAGACGTATGCTAGAAAATATGCAAAGGGAAATGTGCAAATGTTCTTAAACCAAAAGTGCAATGCTTGTCTTTCTGTAGAGCCAATTTTCACTACACAGAGAGACAGAGATACAGCCACAACCACCTATTGCCTAGGTCTGTGCACAATATTTTCTGCATATTGATAGTAGAAATATCTCAGATATGGTTGGCACTAGAAAGATTGCCATTAATTAGAATTTTGCTCTGGATTTATATCATGGTGTGTGTTTCACCTGTTCAGTAATGTTTCTTCTTCAACCTCTACCATTTTCTCTAAGTACTCAGCTAGTCTTCATTTCCTCCCTTAAAAAACCCTGACTTTAGAAAATGTACAGCAGACGAGGGAGATAAATAGAGGGGACTTATGCTTGTCACCGATTCTTTTAATCTGTGTCTCCATCCCTGGAATCATCCTACAGGAAGAAGAAAACTGGCTTCTTCAAGTTGTCCTCTGAACCCCAGAGGTGTGCCAACACCTGCCCCCCCTCCCCCCAAGCGCAACATACACAATAAATAAATAAATATAAAAATAAATACATATAGTAGAAATTTTAAATTAAAATCCAAAGGTAAAGAGTTACCTTCCCAAAGGTACATATCCAAAAGAAAAAGATAGAATTTATGCTTTGTGCTATATGACACTACTAATTTAAAGATTGGTTGAATGTAAGGAAAAGTAAGTGTGTCACACTCAACTAGTCATCAAATCGTGTAGATAAATTTCTAGCATTTATCATGCTCTGGTTAGATTTGAGATCCCTATTGATTACTTGGTGCTCTGAAAAAGTGTTTATTTGCAGTATGTGTAAAGAAGAAACAGTGGTTGGTAATGGTTCTATTGGTTAAATGGACTTGCCCAAAATCTGTCTCCAAAAAACAGGTTTTATATAAAAGCATATTTCATTTTTAACATATGTACAATCTTATTGCTTGTAAACTTTAAATATATGAAGAGGGTGTGCTGCTCTTTTTATTTGTTTTGCTTTCTCTATGTTTGGGAAGGCTCACAGCTTTCCTTTGTCTAGATTGTAAATCATCCTTTATCAAACCCCAAAGACAATTTATTCCTATGCAAGCTACCACTAGTACCCTTACCTGCTTTGGAGATCATTTCACCTTTTTTAGTTTCAGGTACTGGGGTGAAAGACACAAGCAAACAAACAAACAAACAAAGGAATGAAAATAAGTATTAGAAAAGTTCTCAGTACCAAGTTGACTAATTAGACTGATTTTTCTTGTAAGTTCTCAGTTTTGATTATAGTCACATATGTTAACAATATGTTTGTGCAACATGATCCTTAGTAAACTGTAAAGTCACTTAAACAAAATATTGTTGAATTTAAAAGTCACCAGCTAAAGATGATTTCCACTAATGCTCATGACCTGAGTTAGATTCCGGGAACCCACATACTGGAAGGGAAGAACTAAGTCCTGCAAGATGTCCTCTGACTTCTGCACTCACATCATGGCATGTGTACTGCTACACTCACACACACACACACACACACACACACACACACCCACACACACACACACAGAGAGAGAGAGAGAGAGAGAGAGAGAGAGAGAGAGAGAGAGAGAGAGAGAGAGAGAGAGAGAGAGAGAGAGGTGTACACACACAAATGTAACCATTTATTTTTAAAATTCAGCTTATCAAAAATTTTATGCTCGTCAAGCTGGGCATGGTGACACACCTTGAATCCTAGCACTCTAGAGGCAGAGGCAGACATGTTTATGTGAGTTTGAGACTAGCTTGGTTTGTATATGGCGAGTTCCAGGCCAGCCAGAGCTACATAGTGAAACTCTTACTCAAAAAACAAAAAGAAAAACATACCTAAACAAAACAAAAAAATCTCATGCCAGTCAAATCATTTGTGTTTTGTCTTTAATAACAATACCTTATTATTTTAAAATTCATTGATTGCTACAAATAAGGAAACTAATTAAACATACTCAGAAAAAGACTACCATTACTTTCCTTGACTTGACAAATTTAATCATCAATTTTCTATGGACTACCACAGATTCAATTCATGGAGCGCCACCTGGTGGCTACCTTCACAATTTTAAAATGATAAATGTTTTACTTCTGTTACTAATTTTACTAAATCAATTAAGTTGGCTTAAAATTAATTATAAAGGTGAGATTAAGCATCTGTTATTATTTTTCACAAGTCAACGTATTTTACTAGAAAATTCTGCAATCTAACTTAATATAAAATAGATAGTTTTTTTTAAATACATAGTTTTAAAAAGTGTGTAACTAAGTGCCACAGAATCAACTTAATTAACACAATAATGACTACCTTTCAAAATTTCTGGTTCATCCTCTATACAACCAGGCTTGCCTAGGATTTTGTTCTCATTCTTGGCATAGATACTTCTGACCAATGCATAGTATGTACATAATAGTTGTCTTCCTTGGAAGAGCATAAAACATGACCTCATAATTATGGTATTCCTTGAGCATAGATAATGTGTTAAGTTCACTCTAGTCATTTCCATTCAAGGTTTCTTTTAATGTGTTTTCATTTTCACTATTTAAATAAAAAGTGCTTCATTGTGTAGAACTTACAAATACAAATTAGCTCCAAGATTAATGTAGTCACTCAAACACACACCTATCCAAAACCAAAGTCTATGAATCTCAACTTGCAGACAGTTAGATAGCCATTCCTTTGTACAGTAACTGCATAGTCAGCTCCACCCTGTTTTGTTAAATATTCAAATGCACATCATGTAAAACTGTTATTGGTACTAAAACTGTATTTTTGACACCTTTGGCACATATACTCATCTTTAGTTTGACACATTCACTTAATTTTATAGAACAAACCTGATATTAACATTGATATGCCTCAATAAGATATAAGTGTTATTTTCTATAGCTTTTTAAATATTCTATGTTCCTTCTTGAAATATTTTCCATCAGCGTAAGAATTTGACCTTTTGTTCACAAGTTTCAGGATCTGATGAAATATACAGTGGTAAATTAACAGTATCATTTTTAATTGAAAATAAATCTTTTTGCATACAATATTTCTGATTAATTTTCTCTCCCTGATCTCCTCCAAGATACTTTCCAGCTCCCCACACTTCAAGCCCTATATCTCTCTCTCAAGAAAACAAACAAGCAAATAGAAAAATAAAACAAGCAAGAATAAAAGAAAACAAACAAGAAAGTACATGAAAACTACATAATCATGCACACACGCGCGCGCGCACACACACACACGAAACTCATAAAACACAAAATCAGAAACCATAATATACAAAAAAATCAATCAAACTAACAAAGTAGTATGAGACAAAAATATCTCCAAAATACCTTTGAGTTCATTTTGCATTGGCCAGTGACTGATGGGCATGGGGCTTGCCCTTAAGTTTCAATCACATACCCAGTGAGACACCCTTGGCAAACCTAAATGTTCCTTTGTGAGCAGTTGTCAATTTGGGATAGCTTTTTGTTTGGTATTAGAACTAAGGCCTATTAGAATTAAGGTCTATATTCTCAGTTTCTGGATCCCATCTGGTTTGGACCTGTGCAGGCCCTGTGTATAATGATGGTAAGACCCTGTTGCTGAAGATAACACTTCCATATCTCAATGTACATGGGGAAGGCAAACAGGTGCCTAAATAGAGCATTCTTCCCTGCTGCTTACAATCTCTATAAATTCATATGTGCTTCAGTCTTGTTGTATCTGGAAGACACTGTTTCCTTGGAATCACCCTCTCTTGTTCTTACAATTGTTCCCCCTTTTCTGCAGTTTGCTGAGCCCTGAGGGGAGGAATTTGATGGGGACATCCCATTTAGGACTCAGTGTTCCAAGGTCTCTCACTCTATGCACACTGTCCAGTTGTGGGTCTCTGTGTTTATTCCCATCTACTGAAGGAGGAAGCTTCTCTGATGATGGCTGAGTGAGACAATGATCTACAGGTGTACCAGGCGTTTACTTTTGGGCCACCAAGCAGCTCCCAAATCATGACATGGAGACTTATTATTAGTTATGAATGCTCAGCCTAGCTTAGGCTCATTTCTGGCTAGCTCTGTTTAACTTAACTTCACCTGTTTCTCTTCATCTATGTTTTGCCCCAGGGCTTTTTGCCTCCCCCCCCCCCCCCGCCCCGTATGCATATCTTACTTTCACTACTTCTCATGTCTGGCTGGGGGCTGCCTGGCTTCTGGCCCCAGGTATGCCCCTCTCTTTCTCCATCGTTCTCTCCTCTCTTCTTCTTTTCCCTCGAACCTAGGGTTCTCCTATTTATTCTCTCTGCCTGCCAGTCTCAACTATCCTTTCTCTGCCAAGCTACTGGGGATTCAGCTATTTATTAGACCAATCAGGTGCCATAGACAGGCAAGGTGAAACAGCAACCCATCTTTTCATAATTAAACAAATGCAGCATAAACGAATGTAACACATCCTTACATCACTAACAAAGGCAGCAGAAACAACTGTAACACACCTTCACAAAGTTAAAGAGTAATATTCCGCGACATAAATACATATAACACATCTTCGCTCAATTAAAACAATATTCCACAACATATAGGTATAGCAGAATGTTGTTAGGAGTCGTTTTTGTTGCTGAGTTTCTTTAGCAGAACAGAAGTATTTGGATTTTTCCTGGGTAGAGGATCCATCTAGTCTCAGCTTCTTAGCCACCCAAGCAGTGTCAAGCACTGATTTCCATACAAGCTGCACATGTTTGAACTTCAGCCAGCTGTGAATGAGTGTTCCCTTTACCCACACACTCACCAGCATGAGTTGTCATTTTTTATTGTTTTTTTCATTCTACATAAGATGAAATTTGAAAGTATTTTTGATATGTGTTTCTGTGATGACTAAGGATATCTGTGGTGTTTTGAATAAAACTGTCCCCCAAAGGCTATATATTTGAATGCTTAGTCATCAGAATGGCACTATTAAGAAGGATTAGGAGGCGTGGCCTTTTTGGAGAAGGCATGACCTGATTGGAGGAAGTGCATCACTGGGGATGTGCTTTGAGGTTTCAAAAGACAAACCAACCCCACCTCTCTCTCTCAGTTCTCTCTCTCTCTCTCTCTCTCTCTCTCTCTCTCTCTCTCTCTCTCTCTCTTTCTCTCTCTCTCTCTTTCTCTGTGTGTGTGTTTACAGACTAGGATGTAGCTCTCTCAGCTACTTCTCCAACACCATGCCTGCCTGCTGTCATGTTCCCTACAATGATAATGAGTACTCTAAGCCCCTGAAATTGTTATCAAGCCACAAATTAAATACTTTTCTTTAAAAAATTTTCCTTGGTCACAGTGTCTCTCCACAGCAATAAGACACTGACTAAGACAGAAGTTTGCACCAAGGACTGGGGCATTGCTATGACAGAAATGACCATGCTGTTTATTGGAACTCTATGTGACTTTAAAGTAAAAAGCTGCTGGATGTTCAAAACAGGTGTTACTGGGCAATCCTTGTAGGCACATGGAAAACCTTGCTAAGTGTGATTTGAAACATGGGGAGGGCACAGCTCAGGAAGTTTCATAGGGGAAGAGTATTAGTAAGTGGCCTAGAAACCATTCTCATGAGATTTTGGTAAAGAGTGTATTGCTTTTTACTCTTGTCTTAAAAAAATCTGCCTGAGATTAAATTGATAGCTTCAGCCATGTGGTTCTGGTTTTCACATCAAGGATACAAGAAAGGGGTTATGGACTATCCCTCCAAGGCTTTTGCTATTAATTATCTCTCAGATATATAACTGGTAAAAAAAAAAAAATCTTTTCCCATTCTGTAGCCTGAAGTTTTGTCCTCATGATAAGTGTCCTTTGCCATACAGAAGCTTTTCAGTTTCATGAGGTCCTGTTTATTAATCATTGGTCTTATTACCTGTGCTATTAGTATCTTATTCAGAAAGCCTTTTCCTGTGCTAACAAGTTCAACACTAACCCTCATTTTCTCCTCTGTCAGATTCAGGATATTTGCCTTATGCTGAAGTCCTTCACCCATTTGAAGCTGAATTTTGCAGGGGAATAAATATGGATCTATTTGCATTCTTCTACATGCACTCATCCAGTGTAACAACATTTCTTGAAAATACTCTTTTTTTTTCCAGTGTGTATTTCTGGCTTCTTTGTCAAAAGTCAGCTATCTGTAGGTATGTGTACT